AGGAAACCAAAAGCAAAAGTTGCAAAAATATGAATTATCAAAAGCATCAGTGGAAGGCAATTAGATTAGTACTAAAGTAAATATCTGTAACCCCAAAAGACACACACAAATTGAAGTGACTGAGCTATTATATTAGCACCATTAACTCCTAAAAATTAGACAGTTCCTAGATTTAGGAACTGAATTGTTATTATTGCTTTCTGTTGAGACCCAATTAATTAGTCTTTAACTTTAGGAAACAAGAGCACTGTACTTAAAAAATTAAACCATGATAGTACAGTACTAGTACTTCCTGACCTAACATAATAAGGGCCCAGCAATATAGCAACAATTTAACTATGCAAAGACTGAACAACGTTTCTCAAAAGTTACTATGAATACAAGAGAATTCTTGACCTTACATAAAATACATTATTTGTATTCCCTCTCAAATCCTGAAGAACAGGATTTCACTTTTTATAAAAGCAATACTTCTGTACTTTCTCCTGCATGATAAAAACAGTACTTTTATCTAATGACATAAATGTTAAATACTATTACAGCTAATATGTGCTAAACCAAAAAGCCTGAAGAATGAAGGTTAAATATCAAAATATCCAGCACAGTGATATACATACAATAATCTACCAAATATTTGTATTTGAATTGTGCTCTTTGCAAGGTGGAACTTTTGTATCCAAAAATATCTTTGCATTGTCAGAATCCAAGAGGCCATTTAGTATCCTTAAAAATGAGCCCCAATTTTGCTAGGCAATGGAATGAGTAGCTAAGTCAGCTTTATCCTTGGGAGCTGTATTTCAAAACTGAAAACTTTCAGGGTCAGGCTTGCACAGCTCTGGAAAAGTCAGGAAACAGTTGCATCTTTATTCTTGACCATTTTAAGTATGAACTGTGCTTAAGACACTCTTTTGACCAATGAGAGAGCACACAGTGATGAAGAAGTGTGTTATATTTCATGGGAAAACTAAGAGTATACATAGACTAACAAAACATGTAGATGGTATCATGAGCTTTTGTGAGCACAGCCCACTTCTTCAGAAAGCTCATGATCCCATCTACATGTTTTGTTAGTCTATAAAGTGCTACCAGACCACTTGTTGGTTTTTAAGAGTATACATGATGCAAAATAAAAGCCCTAACAATATCATTCAAATTGCATAACTCGGCTGGTGATAAGAACTGCAATATAACTATTGTCTCCTTTCTCTTATTTTCTAGCGCCCTTCACCTTATTGCACAATTTAATAAATCTGTTTTGATTAATCTGATCTCATTTCCAAATTCCATGGAACTTAATTAAAGTAATGTGTGTGATGCATAGATTGAGAAGGGAAGCACGCAACCCTGTCTATTTCCAATTCCAAAGCATGTATTTGCTTAAATGTCCTTTGGACTACTGATCTCTTGAAAACAATAAAACCCTATCACAGTATATACCTATCAACTTCAGTTACAGGAATGTAACTCTTTGGCTCCAGGAACCAGTTGTGGGTAGGGATGTCAATGTGTAGTTGACTTAATTAGCCTAGGTTTATCGGTTAATCTTATCCACTGGAAGCAACAGCACAGAGGATGAGGGGGGCAGGCTAGAATCACTACACACAGGGAGCCAGCTTTAAAGCCAGCTCCCTGCATGTACTGGGTCCACGGACCCAACTGCTCCCTTCCCCCTGCCTCCTACAGAGGCAGTTGTGGGAACAGGTAGGAGCTAGTGCGGGGGGGAGCTGGGTTAAAAGCTGGTTCCCTCCAGCACTGGCTCTGTGGTGCCATCTGGGCTCTATTAGCAGCAGTCCCAGTCCACTGTGGGTCTGAGCTCCCCACCGACGAGGGCTGCTGCCGGAGCAGTCTTTGTCCATGGTGGGCTCAGGCTTGCCGTGCACAGATGCTGCTTCACAGCAACCTCTGCTCCGCTGCCCCCCCTGGCTGCAGCCTCTGTATCAGAGGCAGCAGCACAGGGCAGCAGGTCTGCGCGGGGAGCTAATTTTTCAACTGGCTCCCCTTGTGGACCAGCTCCCTCCTAGCAGCCCACGCTGCCACCTCTGACGAGGGATGTGAAGAACTAGTCGATTATCCGATAAGCAAATGTTTATTGGTTAGTTGACAGGCTAGTCGACTAGTCGCTTCCCTCCCCTTGCTGCCTCTATCAGAAAGAGGACAAAAGGAGGGGTACTTCAGAGCAGCAGCACCGTGTGGAGCCTGGGGCCAGATGCGGGGCTCCACCCGGTGCTGCCGCTGTGAAAAACTGCTTGCAGCCCAGGGCCGGCTGGTTCAAAGCGGCAGCGCCGTGTGGAGCCCAGGATCAACTGGGGACTCCCATTTGGACGCTAGGCCCCCTGCAGCGTTTCAAAGTGGCAACGCCGCCCGGAGTCAGCAGGGGAGTCCCCAGCTGATGCCGGGCTCCATGCGGAGCTGCCGCTTTGAAACACCGGGGGGAGCATGGGGTCAGTGGGGAACTCCTAGGGTTGTTGCTACACTTGAAAGGCAGAGGCGCCCAATCGACTATTCAATTAGTCAATGACTCGCAATTTAACATCCCTACTTCTGATACAGAGGCAGCAGTGCAGGGGGCTCCCCAGGAGAGGGGATGGAGCACAGTGGCTGCCAGCCCCACCCCCAGGGGCTATCAAATAGTCATGTAACCGGTAAGAATTCAAGTGGTTACACTATTCAATTACCCGACAGCTAATACACCTAGTTGTTGGTTTATAATATACACACAAATACAGCCACCAAGGAGCTAAGTTATGTTCGATATCGAGATCCACTATCCTCTTTCAGGGCCGACCCAACTCATCCACACTTAAAGGTGGCTAACTTAACTGCTCAAGTTAATCACATGCTTTATCTGCTTTGCTGGAACAGGGGCTTAGGCGATGGACCACAAAAAATATAAGCCAACACAAAAGCTTTTAACGTGAATTAAAATTGTCCTTTAACAGCCAGTTCAGTTTCATCAGAACCAACTTCGGAGGAGTTGCTTTTACACTTACTGGACAAAGAAGAGAAACTCTTAAACTGGTGGTAGCTATTTCACTGTCTGGATCTGCAGTCAGTTTCTCTTTTACTGCCATTGGAAGAAAGGAAAAAAAATAGAAAAAGGTTTGTTACACACACATCTCTAGGACGATATAGTAATATGCATGCCTAAAACAATTGGCTTTAAACGTGCTATTTGTAAATCTATTGGGAATAAGCAACATTGATTGTATTGTCTGCAACTCCTGCAGTCTGTAAACCTGAAGAAAAACACGCCTCATATGCAGAGTGCAGTTCCTGTGCAGTTTCTATTCTCCAAAAATTTCAGTGGAGCACCATGAAAGGGGAAACTTCTCCAACACCGTATTGTATTTCTAAATACAATTCTAGATTTTTGTTGGCAAGCAGTTTTAAAGTGATAAGCTCTCTAATAATGCAATATCAAGTTCTTTGGTCAATTGCTGGATTTAATGCACACTTTACAAATATTTTGTTAAATCCTGCATGTAGGCTAGCAAAGCCCTGACTCTTTGAATAGGTATTAGGGGCAGGGATGTTTATCGGATAGTTGACACGCTCGTTGACCAGTTACTTCCCCTCCCCTTGCTGTCAGAAAGAGGAAGTAGGGGGAGGGGGAGCGGTGCTTCAAAGTGGCAGCGCTGCATGGAGCCCGGAGTCAGACACTGGGCTCCACACGGTGCTACCGCTTTGAAACGCTCTATGCAGCCTGGGGTTTGCCGCTTTGAAACCGCAGCATTTGAACACTCTGAGTCCCCAGCTGACCCTGGGCTCCATGTGGCGCTGCCGCTTTGTAGCACCGCAGGGAGCATGGGGCCAGCAGGGGACTCAAATGGCATCGACTACTCAATTAGCCAATTCATCTAAATTTAACATCCCTAATTAGGGGGCTCTAATTATTCAAGGGAAACGTACCAAGAATTGTAGATCTTTTAGGCAAAAGGCAGAACCTGACCAAGCAGCTCTTATAGAATTAGCACTGTAAGGACTATAGTCCAATAGAGGCCCTAGTGCCTCTTCCTCCTCTATTTTTGTCTGTAAGAGTTTTAAGAAGTAAAATTGTTCAGATTTAAATTCACCAAAACCAGCCAATCCCAAGTCGCGGTTGCTCTGGGACCCGTAGCTGGGGATTTCATTCACGTGTATGCCTTGTATGGATAGCGTGATCAAGCATACCCAAAGTCCTTAACAGAAAGAGACGAGTGGCTCAGGACACTTGGTTGGGCTGCCTGATGTTTATGCTCTTAAATCTCAAATCATAATGTTACATTAACATAGTTTCATACTCCTGCCTCTTCAACATTATTTTTGTCCTTGGCATTTAGTGATGTTCTCTTCTATGTAGGTTCTCCATCACTATCGCACCTGGGTGCTTTCCAGAAGCAAATGAAGCAACATGACTAAGATGTGTCACGTTTGCTCCCTGTCTCTCCCTGGGAAGAAACGTGCACAGCAGCGAGTTCTGATTTTTAACAAGTGAATTGCACATGTGGCTGGATCTCGGCATCAGAGAAGGCACGACTACACCTTGCCCCTACACCAAAAGGTGAGGCGGTTTGGGATGGTCTGATGGAGGAGGTCATTCCCAGGTCTTGACAAACGGCAGCGAAACCTATTCGCCAGCCCCACATTGCGCATGTGTGCGCCGCTAGTGAACGGGGCGAGTGGCTGAAATCTACTCCACGGGCAAGTAGATTCAGTGATTTGTCAAGCCCTGGTCATTCCACGTGGTGGCCCCGCCTCCAGCAAAGCCTAGTCTCCTTCACAGATGAGCTTTAACTGGTAGAAACTTCCATTGGGCAGAGGAGCCAAGTCGTCAACCCTGGTCAACATCTCAGTAGGTTGGTACCAGAGAACAACCTCAACGCATCAGTTCACATTAGAAACTCCGAGCAACACACTTGGTGAAATTAATTTACTGTTTTTCAGCAAATTAACACTGGCTATGTTGAGCGGCCAAATAGTCTCTTGAATTTTTACTCCACAGTGGCAATAGTCTTACTGGGTTAGTTCAATGCAGGCAAAGGCCTTTGATTATTCAGATTTAGACCGGACTGCAGTGACAGACATCCATGGAATGAATGGATTGTCGGGTGTCTGCCCTTTTTAAAAGAAAGGTCTTGGAGTTCACTGGATTTTTCCCCGCAAAGAGTGAGTTAAGCAATGACAAGTATTTGTGGGGTGGGGGAATAAAAGGTCAGAGTTGTATAGTTAAACCGTGGGGTTGCGTGGAAACCTAAGAGAGCAGTAACTGTCTTAGCAGTGCAGGGATACAGAACAACCCATAAGTCTGGTGAAAATTCAATTTCTGAAGGGATCAGGAGGTGTGTTTGTTTTTAACCCTGTCCTTCCTTATTCGGATTCAAAACTTTCGAGTTACAAAAAGTAGCCTCAAGCACTGCAGCAGAAGCCAGCGCTAAAAGATCTTTTTACAAAAGATTTTTCTTTATAGAGGTTGAACATCTTAGTCTGGCATCCTCGGGGCCAACCGGTGCCAAAGCAGAGAATTTGCAGAACAATGGGTGGTTAATAGCGTGGAGAGCCGGTCTCTTTCTATTTTACCAAGGCACGAATTGGTAAAAAAATTGGATCTGCCTTTTCTGATTTCTGTAATTATTTCACCCTTTGCTGTATCAATAGCGTAGTGACACGTGCTTGTGCTTAGCAGCATTAGCAACATTCTCACTGCTTGCTGGGCCCTTAGAGGACATTTAGTGGTAAATCAGATTAAATCACAGCACAGAACACTGAGAGCCAGGACTGGAGGCTGTACACAAACGTTGCCAGTTCACGGGAAACTTGGCCCCACCCACAGTAAGCAGAATCCGGGTATCTAAAATCATGCCAGACTAGAGGTTTAACCTGTATGTATATCAAATATTTGAATGTATCAGACATACTTAGCGCTTTAGAATGATCAGGATTCCTTATTCCTTTTGCTCGTAACCTCTGTAATAAAACTGTAGACGACAGCTGTTTTACAAGGTAAACTGCCATAGAATAAGTCTGGAAAACAAACATAATGAAACAACTAAGAGATGATATAATCCAAACAAAGAATCTGTATAAATTTTATATTAATGTTTATGATCTCCAGGATTACATGGACCTAGACGTCAACCATCGCTACAAAATGGCGGCACAACATTTTTTACATTTAAGACTGGTGCACAGCGGGGGGGACCTGGCACAAACCAGGAATCAGCTGTCCTAGCTCATGACAGGTCCCCGCGGCTGCACTGCAGCCTTTTAAATGTATTAAGAACCGGCCGCCTCTTAATACAGCCTCTCTCCGACTTACGAACCGGTTACAGACCAAGCAATTGGCTGTAACTCGGGTTTGTTCCTAAGTTGGACCCCATAGAGTTACATGCGACCGTGCTGTTCGTAAGCGCGGATCGTGTTCGTAATTCGGGGTCCACCATTTACGACAGCTTTGGTCTTAACTGCGAACTGTACATCAACGGTTCGCAACTCGGGGACCAGCTGTACATTTAAAAGTCAGAGCCGCAGCAGGATTAGCTCCCAGGCCGGAGCTAACCCCGCTGTTGCTCCCCCGCTTGTCAACTAATCGATGACTAGTCGATTAAACTAAATTTAACATCCCTACCCGGTCCCCCAAAATGTATTTTCTGAGCTATCCCACCAGGGCCAGAAACAGGCTGGGGAATGGCACAGGGTTAGCTCTGTCGGAGTGCTGCATTTCTGGCCCGCAGAGCTCGATTCCTCATCCTCAATGGAGTGTGCTGGTTCCCAAATGACACTTCCCAGGAAGGTTCACTGGGATGGGGTGGCTGCTTCTGTGCTCTGGGACTGGGCCCCATCAACTCAGGATAATCCCCAGAGACTCTCACCCCATCCCAAAAGCGACGAGGAGTCCTGTGGCACCTTATAGACTAACTGAAGTGTAGGAGCATAAGCTTTCGTGGGCATGCATCTGACGAAGTGGGTCTTTGCCCACGAAAGCTTATGCTCCTACACTTCAGTTAGTCTATAAGGTGCCACAGGACTCCTCGTCGCTTTTGGGATGGGGTGAGAGTCTCTGGGGATTATCCTGAGTTGATGGGGCCCAGTCCCAGAGCACAGAAGCAGCCACCTGCATGGTAATCATGGGTGGCCTCAGCATGCCCTTAAAACAGTAGGTTTCCTAGTCATCCATGACTTCAGTAATATTATGCCACAAAATATCACGATTTACGTGACGTCAGAAACACCACGATATTTTAAATGTTCTACTCTTACAAAAGATGTTGCCACCATTAAAAACCTCGACTGCTATAACGTGCTTGTTTAATGCCTCAATTAAGATAGAAGTTTGGAAATGCTAATTAACATTGTGAAATTATTTAGTGACAGCTTGAATCTACAAAGTTAGGTACTTGCCCAAGGCAACTTTCACAGAAGTCTTGGGAAACAGACTGCAGAAACCACAATTAGGACTTCACTGAAGGTATATGCTACCAGCTGAGACATGTAACCCAACATTTTAAAAGAACAAATGCCCAATGTTTATCTACCAAGCACATCCGTACAATAAAACTAATTTCTGCTGATTTATAGGCAGGGTCTCAAATAATACAATTAGGAAGCATTATTTCTTGTGGGAAACGATACGACTAATCCTTTTTGTTAGATAAACTAAGTTTATTTGCCATTATTCTTCTAGTTTTGAGGAGCACAAATTCAAAAGCCTTTCCAAAGAAACAGCTATGCAATTTCAGTTACACCAAATTGTCCGTTTATACCCAGGACGTTTTGTGAAAACAGCTATTCCACTATAAGAAGCGGCACTGTGTTGGTTTTTTTCAATGTTTCTCCAAGAAACAGAAACAATTTGCAGTATGCTTAAAGCGGGTGATTTTTTTCCCTCTCAACTCCTTAAAATAAAATAAAACCTAAATGAACCCCAAAATGTTATTTTGCCTACAAAGCCAGTAGTTTTAAAATCTGCATTCAGCAGGCATCTGTTCCATACTCTGACAGGAGATCCTGTAGTGCTTCAAAACTTAAACCCATTTTGATGGGGGAAATACAACAGCGATACTGTATAGTTGAGTGTCGTGCACAGATGGGCAGTAACTATTTTTCTACGCTGTTTCAATCAATCATGGGTTTCAGTCCACACTTAGAATGGATGATATTACATCTCATGCTAAGTCTCAAACCTAGAGAAATAGCATGGCTGCAGGTAGCAAAGTCCAGCTGATCAGCATTTCTCAAGTCCTCATTGATTTTGTGGGGCATATCTGGCTTTTATCATGAACCTACACACTCAAATTCTCAGTGCACTGATCACTCAAGCGATTGGGTCTCCTGGAGTAACTATCACCAACAAGTAAACAAACCAGCAGACTTTCCACGGGCTATTCAAGATGGAGAGAATTCCAGGGGAATATATTTAAAAACACTAATTACATCCTCCCTTTTCTCCTCCCCTCCCCAAAAACGCTATAAGGCAAAACAGTACAGTCAATAAAGCCTGTGGATAAAATACAGCTGAGAGAACTGAAGCACAGAAATGGCAAGATTAAATCCTGCATGCACTACTAAGTTTTCATGCTTTAAAAGATTTACCTCTAATTTTCTGAGTTAAGAAACACTCCCCTGTGCAACTTGTTATGCACTGGTAAGCAAGCATCACAAATCTTTTTGATCTTAAGATAACATGCTAGAACACACAGGCATAAAGTGGTTGAGAGAGAAAAAAAGATGAAACAAAAAATTCTTAGCTACCCATTACTATACACCATAAGTGTTTTTCTCACCAATTAAGCTTACTTGTTAGCTTTCTAATGAATGCTGAAATACAGATAATTAAAACTTTTCTGTAATACAGAGATCTGACCAAATAGGAACTCACTCTTCCGCTTTCAGCAGTCCAAGAGACAACGATGGTGTTTGGTACCGTTGTAGACAATCTGACAAGTGAGGTAATATTAATTGGTCGGCTAGGTCGCTTTGGTTCAACACCATTTTTGGTTGGTGGAAGATAGCCCTAAAATGAAACAATGATTTTTTTTATTTTTCCCTTTACAAAAAGGTATTTTAATCTCAATTTTTTCCAATAAAAATTCCACGTGCTATTTGTACGGGGATATTAAGCCGCCTCCCCTCTCTCCAAAAAAAAAAAAAAAAAAAAGATCAGCCAAGACCCAAATCTTGGAGTTGCTAATGCCATTTCCATTTTAAAACCACATAAAAATCAATCTCATCTTCCCAATGCAAATGTTGTGATTTAGAGAATTTTGTTCTGGCCAGTCTCCATCAGTTACCATTCAAGGTTTACATTGGTCAGTCTTGGAAAACTGTGCAACAGGTCGAGTAACAATATGACAACTCCTAGGAAGCATGATAAATGTTACGCAGTGACAGATGGGTAATTAGGAATCAACTCAAACGGCAGAACCAGGCTCATGACTGCAGTTTTCAATATTTATCTTTACGAGGACACTATGGCTATGTCTACACAGCAATTAAAAACCCAGGGCGGGCCATGTCGGCTGACTCAGGTTCCTAGGGATTGTGCTGCAAGGTTGTCACGTTGTGGTGTAGACATTTCTGGGACATCAGTGAGGGGGGGAGTCCCAGAGCCTAGACTCCAGCCTAAGCATCTATACTGCAATCATACAACCCAGGGCCAGCCTGTTTAACTACTGTGTAGACCCACTCTTGGACGACTCGGGTACAGAACCTCCCCGATTTACAAACATCCGACTTCTAAACAGCCGCACATACAAACAAGAGGTTGCCTGCAACCTCAGGGGAGCAGGCAAGAGGCCCAGGTGGTGGTGAGCAGTGCAAGGCCTGGCTGGAGGACTCCAGAGGAGCAGGGGGCGGTTGAGAGAAGTGGTGCTTTGAAGAGGAAACCGCCGCTTCTTTGCAGTAGGGAGGTTAGCGAGTAGCCAACAGGAGTATTGACTACTCCCTCCCCCCCGCTTCCTGCCTCTGTTGAGGCTGCTCTGGCAGCAGCCCGGCAGCCCAGGCTGGCCGCTGCAAACAGGGGTTGCTGAACTCAGCACGAGCCGGGACTGAGCAGTCCCAGCTCGTGCTGGTCCAGGATGCTGCGTCTCTACATTTGAAATGTAGTAAGAGCCCGGTGGCAGAGCCGCAGCACAGGTGGCTCCTGGAGCTGGCACGAGCTGGGACTGGTCAGTCCTGGCTCGAGCTGGCTTCTGGAGCTACCCCCGCTCCGGCTCTGCAGAGCAGTCCTTATCAACTAATCATCTACAATTGTATCACAATTAGCCAGACAACAGCAATTTAACATCCTTACTCTACAGCCACTGGCTGTATGGCTGCCGCCTGCTCCTCTGGGGTCCTCCAGCATACACTGAGGGCTTCCTGGTGAGCAAGGGATGGGTCGGGGGAAGGAAGGTGCAGAAGATGGGAGGGGAAGGGGGGCTGACAGCAGGAGCCAGCTCAGAGCCTGCAATGGCAGGTGGGGGGAGGATGCCCACAGAAGCCCCCTTCAGAATCTCCAACTTCCTCCTCATCCTCCCACTGTTGACTCATTCAGCTTGTGGTCCACTGTGACCCCTAGATCCCTTTCTGCAAGACTCCTTCCTAGACAGATACTTCCCATTCTGTATGCATGAAACTGATTTGTCCTTCCTAAGTGGAGCACTTTGCATTTGTCCTTATTAAACTTCATCCTGTTTACCTCAGACCATTTCTCCAGTTTGTCCAGATCATTTTGAATTATGACCCTATCCTCCAAAGCAGTTGCAACCCCTCCCAGCTTGGTATCATCCGCAAACTTAATAAGCGTACTCTCTATGCCATTATCTAAGGTACGCACATCTACACAAGCCACTTGTTATTTTGAAAAATATTTCAAAATAATGGGCGCGCGCTATTTTGCCATTCTGGTAAACCTCGTTGCCCAAGGGTTAAGGAATGGCTCGACATAATGCATTATTTCTAAAGTTGGCACTGTGTAGATGCACCAAATTTCAAAATAGCCTATTTCTAAATAGATTCGAAACAGATTCAAAATAAGGTACGTCATTTGCGTAGTGCAAATTGTGTATCTTATTTCGAGTTTAGGGTGTTGTGTAGATGCACTTTAAATCATTGAACAAAACCAGTCCCAAAACTGATCCCTGCAGAACCCCACTTGTGATGCCCTTCCAGTATGACTGTGAACCATCAATAAATATCCTCTGCCTTATAGCAGTGTATAGCCCCATCTACAATGTATTTCCCTAGTTTACGGATAACAAGGTCATGTGAGACTGTATCAAATGCTTTACTAAAGTCTAGGTATACTATGTCTTACTCCTTATCCACAAGGCTTGTTATCCTATCAAAGAAAGCTATCAGGCTGATGTGACATTATTTGTTCTTTACAAATCCATGCCGACTTTTACTTATCACTTTATTATCTTCCTGGTGTTTGCAGATGGATTCCTTAATTATTTGTTCCATTATCTTTCCTGGCACAGAAGTTATGTCTCTAGTTAGCGTGAGCTCGTTTTGTGCCTTCACCTTTCTAATTTTGTCCCCACATACTTGTGTTATTTGTTTATATTCATCCTTTGCACTTTGACCAAGTTTCTGCTTTTTATAGGACTCCTTTTTGATTTTCAAATGATTTAACATCTCCTGGTTGCTCTCTTGACATCCGTCCTATCTTTTCTACGTCATGGAATAGCGTGCTCTTGTGCTCTTAATAATGTCCCTTTGAAAAACTGCCAACTATCTTCAATTGTTTTTCCTCTTAAAATCTTGTTTCCCAAGGGATCTTACCTACCAGCTCCCTGAGTCTACCAACATCTGCCTTCTAAAAATCCATTGTCTTTATTTTGCTTTTCTCCCTTAGAATCATGAACCCTGTAATTTCATCATCACTACATTATAGGATAAACAGGCTTTTGTGGGCAAGCCAGGGAGTGGAGCTGCCATTTATAACATTGTTTCTTGGGAAAATGCATTCCGAGTTCCAAGCAACCGATTTACAAACGAACTTTTGGAACAGAGTCCATTTGTAATTTGGGGACTTCCTGTACTTAGAGACGTGTAAGAGCTCAGACCTATCCACCCCACTGATGTATTAAGAGATATCTTTCTGCCAACTCTTTTCTCCTTTGTCTGTACATCCTGTCCAACCAAGACGGTCTAAAGTCAGCCAGTCTAGTCTGGTGGGTTGCCACTGTAATGTAAGTCAATGCCTTGTTCTTGTTAACCCTTTGGAACCGATTGTCCTTTTCCCTATCTGTACAGCGACCAGTGTTATGGGATCCAGGGGTGCTACCACAATGTAAATATTTACTACAAATAATCTCCTGCCTGGTTTTATTGGATGTTCTCTTCAGAATAACAATTTTCCTAACTCTTGATCCAGTTCATTCACCCAGCAATCAGGACAACCCCATCCCCAATATCAAAACAAATATTTCAAAAGCCTCCATTCTAACAATATTTCAAGCAAACATACATCCTTAGCTGTACTACTCACATGACAAATCAAAAGAATCTCTAGTACTTACTGGAAGGCTACATGGTTTCCCATTTACTTTCACGCAGAGATTGGGTGGGAAGTGATCTTCTTGTGGACAACTGGTTTCTGATAAACAAAACCTAAGTGCAAAGAGTTTGGGTCACCTTTCATATTTAAAATGAAGGACTTCAACAGCAAAAGTACATTTCTATTAACAGGAAGTATGTGTGTGGGCTTAAGAAGATTAAGATGAGACACTGAGCAGCATGTAGAATTAAATCTTCAACTTCGACAGAGAGGTCTGGAATTCCTGGGTTGTTCCTGGGTTCTTCATCCAAACAAGCCCCAACCACAACTACTTGTTTGGATAAAGAGGGCCCTGGATTCCTCCAGGCACATCTTCTTTAGGAGACAAAGAATCTTCCTATAAGAATTCTTCTACGTCTGCCAGGTTTTTCTTCCCTCCATCTTCTCTGCCTGACCTCACCTTACAGAAAGCCAGGGTTTTTGCAAAGGAGTGAATACATGCTCCTTTATCTCAGATAAGCAGGCCAGCTGCTGCATGGTGTTCAAGCTTTCAGTGTTGTTCTGATGCCCAAGGTCAGACCTTCTACTTCACTTCTGACCGTTTCTGATAACGGTAATAGGATTCCCAAGGCATGTTTGCTGCTGGAAGCAGCATTAGACAGACCCTTGTTTGTCCTTTTTATGTCTCCTTCCCCTCTTCTCCCTGTCCCCCTTCCCAGTTGGAATACAGCAGGATTCGATGCATTTCTCCCTTCACAGCCCTGCAAGAGCCATCTTGATTTACTGGGGAGCATATACATTAAAAAGTGTCCTAATAAGGTTTCGCGAGAATGTTAAAAACGCACAGATCCCAAGGTTATACTGTATGAATACTGTACCTTAGCTGGACCTGTACCGTGAAGTCACATTTGGTCCCAGAAATGTCCCTAGCAAAGATATGACAAATACTAATTAAAAATATGGCATATATAAAAACAAAACCTGGAAAGCAAGGCTCTGATGAGTAGAGTACACTACTGCAATCTGTGATACTTCATCTCTTGGGTAGGCATGCGCCCCCAAACTGAGCTTTATCAGACTGCTTACCATTCAGACTCATCAAATGCTCACTAAAGGACTTTGGATTAAGCCTCTTGCTAGCAGTTGTGGCCCATTCTTTCACTACACTTCCTATATTCACTCCTATTTTTGGAGCCCCCTCCTGTCTCTGCTCAGTCAAACCAACATGCTCTGTTCTTTGAAACCTACTTCTGAAATATTCATCTGTATCATGCTGACCACAATAACTGAATCAATATTCACAATCTCTTTATCTTCCTTGGTTTTATATCTTGGAAAGAAAATTTCCACAAGCCACAAGGATGATCAGATGCCTAAGAGGAGGAACCTCCCCCCCTCCCGTTCATGCCCTCCCCTCTCCACCCTCTGTCACATCACTAAAATTCAGCCTGGATGTATTCTGTGAAGTGCCCACGATACCCCTAAGTACTAAGTCAGGGTTGGGTTTCTTTTATTTCGGCCTTTTTTCAAGACACTGTAAACACTACCTTGAGGGAGTTACAGAAATGAACTTACATGGAACTGCTGATTTGCTGCACTTGTTGCGGTGTCAATGCAAATGCAAAACAGGTTTCTCGAAATCGCTGGCTATTATCTGATGCTAGAAAAACAAACAAGATAAAGTGCCACTTTAAAATACAGTAATATAGAAAGTATGCGTAGCATGGAAACTTGCTTTAGAATAAAACCTCAACAGCCTAATATATATTTCTGCCACAAAGGATATAGTGTTAAAAGTGTCTGCTATTGCTTGTTTTAGTGACTTATTTCTAAGGTACCCAGATATACACTTTCTTCTCTTCATTCATGTGCATTATACATTCCTGTATTAGTCTATAAAAGTATAGTAAGTATATACACCAGAAAAATATGAGAATTTACAGTTGAGTCAGATGAGCAGCTTCCTTAAAAACCACAGCATATATTTACCAATACATGTTATACACTCACGCCTTTGAGAGATGTACAGCTTAGACATAACAGTTGTGCTTAATACAGTAATTCCGTATTTAACACGTGCCCGCTTAACATGTTTTCACGATAGCACGATTTTCTTTTAGGGAAAGTTTTTTGAATGATATAACCGTCCCCAGAATAATACCATTTCCCCAGCCCGCCCATCGCCGGCAGAGGGTTCACCACTTGCCGCACCATTCCCTGGAGACCCCCCCTCTCCGGTCGCAGTGCGGGTCCCGGCAGACCTGTCACAGGGGCATACTCCCAACCCAAACCCCCTCGCCTTCCCCAGAGCCAAACACCTCCCTTCCCTGCTGTAACCCAGTCTCCTTTCCCCCTCTACCTTATGTCCCACTCTCAACAGATGCCACCCGCTTGAAACGCAACCCCCACCTTTTCCATTATTTTCAATGGGAAAATTGACCCACATAACATGTTTTCACTTAACACAATCATTTTCTGAAACATATCTAGTGTTAAATGAGGAATTACTGTATGTTAAAATATAAATCTTTCAACACTGGATCCATCATAAAATAAACATTATAGAAATAGCAACGCACCCATCAGGGAAGGAGTAAGCAAAATTCTAAGCTAACCACACTTGTGCCTGCAACTTCTCTCTTGCATGGGAAACTCAAAGATCACTGTGTTGTCACATACAGTATAATCTGTGGAGAAAATCCCTTCCACCACAAGGCTGATAAATGGCACTTCTCCTGAGCACTAACAATTACTTCCTTTAAAAAAAAAAAGTATCGAGGAAATTTTAACACGTGCATCACCATGGCACCGAGTACAATTTCTAACAAAAATAAATCAAGCTTAATTACTTCTAATCTAACCGTTTCTATCACATTATGATGACTAACTCCTGATTTGTATTTTAAACATCTACTAGTCTGATAATTTTCTACCAGGCACTTCGAAATCACTCCAGAAGAAATATGGATGCTTAACAGGATACCCATGTAAGGACAACATATCCAGAGTTGGCAACCAGCTATAAAATGGACACCATGCAGGTATTTGATTCTAAACCTCAACATGAGACCTTTGAATTACATTCAGATCTTTACTGTGTGTCAATATCAACAAGTGTTCGCTACTGTCATAAGTGAGAGCTCATGCATAAGATACTTTACTAAGCCATCACTTAGTCATACATATATATATATACACACACACACACACACACACACACACACACACACACACACACCATGAACAGTAATAAAAAGGGATTATATTCTGTTGAGCTATTAAAATGAGTGTGCAGGCAACCAATAAATCCCTATGGATATATAAGCAGACAACATGCCAGTAACAGCTTCTGTATAAAAAACCCTATTCAAATAGGAAAAACTGTTTATCTACCCTCCTGTCTTTTATACTAAATTAATTTCATTAACAGGATCTATCCTGGCTGGTCAACGAGAAGCAGGACAATATTTATTAACATACATTTATATTATGGTAGCACCACCTACAGACCAATCAGGATTAAGATTCTAGCACATAACATCAATCTGACAACTAACTACTCCCTGATAACCACTTCCCCCAATCCCAAACTTACAGTTTCTGTATTTTTAAAAAGAATACAGAATACCAAACTAGAGATAACACATACTTAGCAAAAACAACGATCCAAATGAATCTCACTTATGGCAATTTATGAATTTTGGAAAAGTATAAATACAATATTCATAATACACAATATGAACAAAACATTTTATACTCCAGGTATATGATACAAACACCCCACAATAGAAAAAAACAAAAACAGACAACATGCCAGTAATAGCTTTTGTAAATGTGAACTATTGTGTTCAACACAAGTTAAATAGCCAATCGTTCTAATCTCTAGCCAATCGTTCTAATCTCTGCCCTGCAAAGGATGCTTTATTTTTAAACACAAAAAAAAGGGGGGGGGGGGGGGGAGAAGAGGACTGTTCTCTTCTTTGGTTTTGTTAAAGACACTAATGGTGATCTGAACAATTCTTGTTTGATTTTTACATATCTTGCTTGTTTTTTACCTTAGAAATTTCAAGTCTGGTTTTGCTAGAGAAACTCTGGAAGGTCTCGGGGATGTTTGCTGTAACCTGCAACACCTTAATTGAAGGACAAAGGTGTTGAATGTTTAACAAAGGCTTCCTTTATCCAACATTTAATTATTCAGTGACATTAAACAAGTGTTAACAAAAACAAAGTTCTAGAACTGTCTGGCTAGAAATCGCTTCCTCTCTTAATTACTCAGCTTACAACTTGACTGGGTGTTGCAGCACCACTGGAAAACCCAGCCTTTATCTACACTTAAAAGTTTAAAGCACAGCCACAGCAGTGGTTTAAAATTGAAAGTGTGTCCAGGGTACAAGCACCGGGAGATAGCTCTCTCAGCACTCTATGTAAACTACCTCCAGGAGGGGAGTACTTAACAGCACTGAGAAAATGACTCCTACTACTGTAGTCTGGTTTATACAGGCGCTTTACAGCGCTGTCACTTGGGGGGGGAGAGATGCATATATGTTTTTTTTCATACCCCTGAGCCAGAAAGTTACAGTGCTGGAAAGTGCCAGAGACTTAGCCCAAAATGTAGAATATGGGTGAAACAAACTAAGAAAGCATTGTAAATCTCTCTCTCTCTCTCCCCCCTTCCTGCAACCCCTCTTTAGTTCTATATAATTGAACCAAAAAGGCCATAAACTCAATTTTCCACCTCCTCCTTTGCAAGTCTCTCTTAAGCCAACAGCTTGTTTTGATTTGTACTAAGCAAAAGCAAAAAAAAAAAAAACACCACACACACAGGCCTGTGACCTTGAAAAGCAACTTCAAATCCTCTGTGTACAATTTTCTGGTGCTTCTCAGTTCAGCCAAAAGGTTACCATCTTAAAACGTACAAGAACATTCTTCTGTGCTGACATGGAAGATTCCATAATGCCAATTCCTCCATGTGCTATAGCTTTGGAGCATTTATAAAAGTACGGATGCCTTTTGCTTGAATGTTCCAAAATGTTATTTTATGGAAATGGTCATCCCTAAAATTAATATATCCTTTAAAGTAGCTGATAAAATTCATAAACATCTTGAACATTACCTACATTTAAAAATACACTGAAAAGGATTAAAAATGGGTGGGGTTTTGTTTCTTTTTTAAACCATCGTTGTTATAATCCAACATAATTGCAATGAAAACTTCTGAGATTTTTCGACTCTTGGTTATTAATTGAATATTGTCCATCTGAAAAAAGGGATTTCATTGCAAATATATCAAAATGTAGAATTCAGTGTGCATTCTATTCAATTTTACCTTGTAAAATTAATGCATGCCAATAAAATTGATCACAATTTTGAATATTGGGGGGAGGAATAGCTCAGTGGTTTGAGCATTGGCCTGCTAAACCCAGAGTTGGCCCCCTCAAGGATTGAACTCACATTTAGGGATCTGGAGCAAATCTGTCAGGGATGGTACTTGGTCCTGCTGTGAGGGCAGGGGACTGGACTCCATGACCTCTCAAGGTCCCTTCCAGTTCTAGGATATAGGTATATTTGCATTTATAGTGCTTTGTAATATTTAGCTGATGGTCACTTTTTGAATGATGCACAATGCTCCTGACCTCTTAACCTAAAAAGTTTTAAGCTCAAATATATGTATACTTAGAATGTCCAAGTGGATGTTTTGTGTATGCATGCAGGAGAGAGCGCTTTAAACAAGATATTTATTTCAAGCCTTTACATTACCACGTTCAAATTTTCCTGAGGAAAGGAAAGTTCAAGATATGAGCAGGTCAGTCCTATCTCAAAAGTTCACTGTGGTTGGCTGCTTGAGACTTTATGCCCCCCGCTGCACCTGACTGCCCAGGCATCTAAGCACAGAATGAGTATCTGTAGCTGGTTCTTTTCCAGCTCTCTTCTCCGTTCTTCACATTTCAGAATGCAAAACCTTTGTATTAACTCAACATGTATTATGTGCCATGTCCTGTCTAAAGCTTCATGAGTAACTGAATCTCCTCATTCCGCTTATTCACTTGGTAAGACTTCACAATATTTTTTTCCCCAACTCATTTGTCTTAACTGGTTCTGCTTTTGACACAATTCATTTTAAAAAGCGAATCAAGAATTTTAAAAAAAGACCCTAAGGAACCAGCTTATAAAACAGGCAAAATACATTGTACAGAAAATACCATGAACAAACACAGTGATGATATATTAAGACATCGCTTTACAAAAATGTAAAAGCCCACAGACAATCTAACAAAACTTTTCAGTTCTCAGCCAGTTTCTGAACTGGACAACTAGCAGCATGTGGTTATTAGGGAAATAACATCCTCCAAATTCTAAAGGAATCCAGAGACTAGTACACTTTAAATACTCTGTAAATCATGTACATTTACAGTCAACACACTACAGTTAATTTGTCACCCAACTGTACTGTAAGTGATCCATTCTCTAAAGATCACAACTGAGTTTCAAACAAACATGCAGAAGGAAAAGTAGGGTGAACTGATTGAAAATGATGTTTTCTGTTCAGGATGCCGTAAATGACTTAACACGTTAGGAGATGGGGGGCTACTAAACATTGCATGACCGTATTTGTTTCAGTTTTGCAAAATATTACAAGGGGCTGGGTCAGGGGTGGGCAAT